GCAACACGTCGTGTCCCGGTGCATTTAGAGGCCGAGGTAAATCGACAGGTGCAGGAAATGTTGAAAGAAGGTATAATTGAGGAAGCGGACAGCCCATATAGCTCACCGGTACTCTTGGTAAAGAAACCCAACGGAAAGTATAGATTTTGTGTCGACTTTAGAGAACTGAATAATATAACAGACCTAAAACCTTGTGCAATGCCAACAGTGGTGGAAACATTAGATCGGCTACAGAATGCCACGGTGTTTACAGTGCTGGATTTACGGTCAGGTTATTGGCAATTACCTATAAAAGATAGCGATCGCAGCAAGACAGCATTCACTGTACGTGATAAACAATACCAATTTAAACGAATGCCGTTCGGGTTGGCGGGTGCACCGTTTACGTTCAGAAGATTAATGACGCTACTGCTCAAGAATCTAGATAATGTCGAGGTATATGGCGACGATGTAGTTGTATACAGTCTGACAGAAACAGATCACGTCAAGCATGTGGAAGCAATCTTAAAGCGAATTGATGAATTTGGACTTCGAATTAATAAGGAAAAGTCGCAGATAGCGAAAAACAGCGTCACATTGTTGGGACATAAAGTGGGAAATGGAGAAATAAAACCATTGCCGGAGAAAATTCTTACCATAAAAAATATTGCAGTACCTAATTCGAAAAGGAAGTTGAGACAGTTCCTGGGAAGAGCGGCGTTCTATAGTCGGTTTGTCAAGAATTTCAACGAAATAGCAGCACCCTTATATAAGTTGCTGAGCAACACCAAGTTTACGTGGACTGAGACTGCCGACCAAACCTTCAACCGAATCAAAAACATGCTAGACGATCGTCAGATGACGCTGCGACTGCCTGAACCCGGGAAACTATTTACAGTGGCCACAGATGCAAGTGATCATGGTGTAGGTGCTGTATTGAGTCAGGCTGATAGAGTGGTGGAATACGCAAGTCGCGTCCTCACACCCGCTGAGCAGAAGTATTCAACGATCGAAAAGGAGTGCCTGGCAATAGTTTGGGCAGTGGAAAAATGGAGACCGTATCTGTTAGGAAGACGATTTCACATTGAGACTGACCATAAACCCTTGCAGTGGTTGAAAACAGCAAGAGACCCCCGAGGGAAGTTGGCGCGATGGATGATACGTTTGCAAGAATACGACTTCAGTATCGGCCATGTTCCAGGAAAGGAAAACGTAATGGCGGATTACTTGTCAAGACCAGACATGGAAGCTGACCTTCCTTTGACAGCATACGCGGTGAATAGTTTAGAGGGAGACCCATTAGAACTCGTCCGGCAGCAGAAATCTGACCCTAGCCTTCGAGATGTAATCAGAGTGATGAAAGAGGGAGCAGACGTAGAAAAACGAACAATGGACAAGGAGGTACAAATGCTACTTCGGCAAAAGGAACGACTGAGATTGAACGCATATGGAGTCCTGACCTGGCAGGACGATGACAAGAATTGGGTGGCTGTAATCCCGAAAGACTGGCGGCGTAAGATGATACACGAGTGTCACCAGGTAGCACATACAGGCATCGCAAGAACGACGGACTTACTACGACAAAGTGCATACTGGCCGGGCATGAGAGACGATGTGGCTCAATACGTGTTAACTTGCCAGCAGTGTCAACTAATGAAAAGCGATCGATACACACAACCGCCATTACAGTCAATCCCAGTAACCGCAGTCGGTGATCTATGGTCGGTGGATGTGATGGGACCGTTCCCACAGACGGCGAGCGGTAATCAGTACCTGCTAGTGATGACGGAGCATGCTACACGTTGGGTAGATGCCGTACCCATTGCAGACCAGCGGGCAAGAACAGTGACCGAAGTGGTAATCCGGCATATTGTAGCGTGTCACGGAATACCGAAGATGATATTAACTGACCAGGGTCCCTGTTTTGAAAGTGACGAGTTTAAAGCCCGTCTAAAGCAGTTTGGCATCAAGAGGATACGAACTACACCGTATCATCCTCAGACAAACGGGGTTACAGAGAGAAACAACCGGACATTAAAGGAATGGTTAGCATCTAAAGGAGGAGATTGGGAGAAAGAGTTACCATTGATTTTGCTGGCGCATCGTTCCTCCATACAAGGAACAACCAAGAAATCACCTTTTTTGCTCATGTATGGCAGACAACCACGACTTCCAATGCACAACAAGACCTGGCCACAACAACAGAAATGGACGACAACAAGGTTAAGAAAAGAGAGGAGGGAGGCAATCAGGAACGTGGAAAAGAAGCAAATATCAGACATAAAGAAGGCGGAACAACAGAGGAGAATGTGGAAACCTTTTGCAGTGGGGGACCTAGTAAAGTGTAGAGAACGGAAAAGTAGCATGACAGGGGGATCAGGGTCGGGAAAGCTGATCCCAAAGTGGGAAGGACCGTACGTTATCACGGAGAGACGCGGCGCGGTTTACACAATCCGGAGAGAAGACAAGCAGAAGCGCGTAAATGCTAGTCAATTGCAGAGATGGTTTCAAGATCGTCAAATGTGTGAGTCGCGAAAAACACCAAGGAAGACAGGCGTACGACGATCAGAAAGACTACGACGACAGCTTATTAAAAGGGGGGAGGAGTGTGGTGCGCGCTACTTATATTGAGATAATAAGTAGTATATAACGCGAGTTTCAAACGTAATGGCTGGCTGCAGAAGATGGGGAAAAATCAAGAGAGGAAGAGCGGCAACACAATGGAATTTGTATGGAAAAACATGAACAATGAAATGTCAGTCAATGGATTGATATTTGAAACAGGAACAGTTCAGTTTAATATGAAGGATTAATATTTTGCAAATTAACGATTTAATATATGGTTTTTCTATTTTACCAATTAACTCTGTAATTTGAGCTAAATACAATTCGGTTGTCCTCATCAGTGTTCTGCCTCACTACAATTTTATCATAACGTCACGATCCCTACATGATGCTACTTTTTTGATAAATTTGTTTTAGACAATCGTTCAATCTGACTTGAACCTGAAAGAAAATGAGCCTAATATGAGGTAATTTTGTCTTAATCATCAAATTACCAGGCTTCTTTAGACTGATTTAGCACGGGTCTAGAGAGAATTGAAAAGGAATATGTGTCCTCATTTAAATAAACAACATTGAGACTGAAGAAATCATTTTGGTCGAACTCATCGTAAACTTGTGATACACTCTATTCTTTTTGATAGTGAAGTTAAAGTACTAAAGATTAGCTAGGCAGGGGTCCCAGAAATATGTTGGAGGTTAATTGATAATTAAGATTGCAGTTAGGTTCACAGGGAAGAAATAATAAGTAATTAGAACCAGCCGAAAATTCCATGCTTGATTACATTAATTTATTACAGTTGTATGTAATGTCAAAAATTACTACTTAAGTATTCATTTACTTTTTTGTGTACCCATTCTATTTACAATCATTCCAAAATGAGTGTTGAAATTTATGTTTTGTTCCAAGATTTGAATAAACATTTATTCAACTACTAGCCTGGTTTCCCCTATAGATAAACCAAGGGGTGTCTACCTGCATGAAATTTGTGAACTTGATTTTGTGCACAAAGGTTCTGTGCATTTACATTGACCAGATTCTGCATTTAAAAGTGTTTGATGTCTAAACAAACTCATTACTCTGAAGCATTTGAATGCTCGTAAAGCCTATTGAAGAACCAAAACAGATTATCACGACCATAATGGACTAGTTATTTTTTCGATTAAGCTAGAATGCTCACTATGTACAAAGAAATGAGATGATGATTTCGTGGATGTGACACTAATTTATCGTAAAACGTGATCCACATACAACTTTATGAGACACGGTGTTTTTGAATTTAAGTCGTGTAATCAATAAAGGATATGCAGTATTTGGGTCTGTAATCGTTACTAGTTAAGTCATTTATGCCGTGAAGTTAATGGATATAGTATACTGTAGTTGACTCAACAAGATATGACTTACTGACTTATATGATATTATGCCAAGGAAACACTATATCTCACCTTGACTCAACCAATGAATATAACCTCACCGAGCGAAAAATATGTAATATATAGGGACAAAAGAGGTACATTTCAGGTGAACGCGATTGAAGGGCTCAGCCAAGTAGCCTTGGTGATATACCCACGTCTATCCTCACCGACCTTCCCTACTTTTCGTCAAACATGCAGTGTTCAATGTAAATCACCTAAGTTCATGTGTTTTCTTAAATTACTATTACAACTCATGTTGATAGTCCAATGTTATTCAATCATCACTACTAAAATTCCAGGGAAAGTGAAGAGATCGGTGCATTCAACTAATCCACTTCGTATCTCTAGTTCAGGTGTCGACGCTTAACGAACTTTAAACAACATAGGAATGGTAAGAATAACTGCTCTCTCCTTAAGTAGTTTCTGATGATGTTCAAAGTGGAGACAGAAACATCGCAATTAGAGCACACAGTATGGTAAATAACATCGATGAACATCATCATAAATGCTCTCTGTCGGTCAGAACAACAGAATTAACCACATGAAAATGCCGCAAGCATCCGGAGTTTGACAGCGCCCATGTCAGTGACTCCATTATAATCGAGGTATGTCATTTCAGTCGAATCAGATGTCAGAAGTGAAGAGACCTGAGGGTATGTTTGAGTAGCTACTGATGTGTTGAGAATCGTTCGATCTAAGCTTGTTAGTGGTTTGAGGAGATGCGTTGTGCGGTGTACCCACTCATGATCCGGTGCGGACCATCTTGGACTCCTAACTGATCCAAACGAGTTGATTAGACTGTCTTAACGTGTGCTAATGGAAGCTGGTTATAAAAATAGCCTCCAGTATATCATCAATGAAATACTTATCCCTCAAGATAAGTGCATGCATACACTGGCAAGAAACAAAAAAATGTAGAACATATATTATTTCATGACTTGAAAACGGTTGTGCATAGCAATACTGAGAATACTAGTAATGAGAATTAACATAGGTTAACGGACTTGTAATGCTTAAGGATAAAGACTGTAAATTTAACTATCGCACTACTTTCAAGCTGTACGCTGCGCTGTTAACGATGGTTCGTAACATATTTTGGTGTTTTAACCATACCGTACTGAGAGCATTAAATGACATTTCAATATTTAAAAAATCGCATTTCAATTTGAAAAAACATGTAATTGGAAGTTATGAAATTCTGGTGGCTAAACAATTCCGATCTATCAAATGGAGTCCGTCTAGCTTAGCCAGATAAACTGGACTATAAAGGCAAGATTAAATAATCATGTTGATACATTGATTAGAATGAGTATCTGGAATTCGTGATGTAAGTGTTGGGATTTAAGAATTGACATCAAGCTTTACGTCTCGTTTAACCGAAACTTTATATCCTATTTTAATCGAACCTTAAACTAAACTTCGTGATCCTAAGCTGTACACACTAATGAATCGTTAGAATCAATTACTCACTCAGGAAACTCAAATATGGGAGACTTAATATATTTACGGATAATATGTTTTATGTTGTTAATGAACGCCAAAGTTCCTAGTGGAATCTCCTGCATTAAAATACGGAAACATTCGTACCAAAATTCATATGGCTCCTCAAAAGCTCTTCTTAAAGCCTTCATGCTGACGTAGAAAATCTTTTGGATGGCTCCATTTCGCCTTGATGTTATTGGTGCGATATGCAAGTACAGTATACTGATGACTTATCAGTCAATGAGGACAAGCTGCATAGTTGAAAACAATTAACAACAAAACGCAATAAAATAACAGTGAGACAACAACTTTGATCTGACCGATCGACCCTCATGCCAAATTATTCTTTGTAGTAAAGGAAAAAGTTCAAGTTTACATATTACGAGTCGGGATAATGTCCAGAGTTCGGGTTATCACCCCATAGTTATCATCACATGGCATCGGTTATAATTTAGAAAGGGTTAGGAAGATGTATTAAGAGTAATTCTGGAGTTTTATGTTGGGTGTACAAATGAGGACTCGGGTTTTCATTAAAAACCGACATCAGTTATAATACATTGCTTCGTCAACCTTCTGTTTTCAAACTTGGAAAACTTAGGATCAAAATCTAGCAGAAGGGTTGGAATGAGTAGACACTATCTAATTTGTTTAAACAGTTGATTGCTCATTGAACCATATTAAGTACTGCCTGCCTTAAAAGCAGGTATATTTTGTTATTTCAAGCATCGTCTTAACTTTACATTTTCGCTCCACCATATGTATTTTTATTGATTCCGAACGTTATAAGAATCAAATGACAAGTTTTTTCTAGTAATAAAATCCGTCTACCAGTACACTTCAAATTACGCGCAGAATATATGAGGAGTTATGTATTATACGCTTTTATGGTTGGGAACTGTTAACTATGTGTCTCATTACGGAAAGAAATACTGATATTACCTTCCGTTTCTTTCAAAAAAGTCATGGTTAACCTAAAGAATGCTGCCGAACCAGTCAGAAACGAGTTGGTTACGATGCGCATATCAGTCAGCCTTGCCGTTTAGCTAACGATAGAAGTATATGAACTTGACGACGGGTTGCATTTTGACAGGTAATAATAGGGAAAATGCATTCGAGTATTTACAGAACATTGGAATACTATAAAAAAGCAACCATGACACATATTAGTGCTGCATTTACTGTAGAAAATTACTGTAGGTATTATTTCTCGACCACTCCCATTGACTTATGCTTCCATCTTTTTAGGTCTCCATGAAACAGAAATAAGAAATATACCTCTCCCTAGCCAAGAAACGTATACAGCTCAAAAACAGATCCCGGAAATCCTAAAGCTCACCAGTTCCGTCTGGCAAACAGTATACCCAATCAAAGACGTGAAACAAAAATATCTTGAATCTGACAATCAATATTCTCGTTATTACACTCATCAACACAAGCTGAAAACACTTCTGTTTTCAAGAGAGTTTCGAAAGTCGACCTCGTGGAATCCGATGTTGAATGCGAGTTATCCTAACAACATAAGTGATTCCTGTTTAATTTCCGTAGAAGATACTAAACTTCTATTGATTTCCGGCATACCTAAGTTTTACCACGCTTCTAATTTAAGGAATTTTTTCTCACAATTCGTTGAGTCATCTAAATTTTCATGTTTTCACTATCGTCACAGACCCGATATCGTGGATATAGAATCAACTACGAAAATAGACGGAACCGAGTTCCTTAAATCCATCAAACTAGTTGCCAAAAGCAAAACAACGTGCTGTGCTATTTTCTCTATCTACAGAGAATATATCAAAGAGTTTTTTCGTTTATACAGTGATCTTAATTGGCCTAGTGAGAACAATGATTTGCCTTTGGAATCGAAATGTACCTTACATTTATTAGACCATGCAACTATGGAACGTAAGTGACAATTCGTTTATTTTAATTATATTTTTGTAGAATTTAGCTGTTTACCCGAGTTCAGACCATTATCATGGATGCCTCGTGGAAACGTCGGGACACCTACTCAGTACTTTTTCAGTCTGATCAAAGACTGTAAACTGGAGAGTTCAATCATTTCCAAGCTTAATTTAGACTTCTCTACTCAAGCTAAGAGCCGCAAATATGGCGCAGTTCCTTTCATTTATGAAAGTTTAAGTACGGGGAGAGAAAGGTTGCAATCTTCTGAATCAAATAATGATGACTTTGAATGTGGTGTCGTCTGCAATTCTTATATTCCTAATAAGGTATGTTAGATTCACATTGTGATGTGAAATATTTTTTGGTCTACCAGAAGCGTCTAGATTATCGGATAGTCTTCACTAAATCATTATACTCCTGTAAGGTGCTCGTTAAGGATATGTAAATTGTTACGTGATTCTGTAATTTACATCTTATAGAGGTTTACAAATCATATTGATAGAATATCGAACGTCAGCATGTTATTGCTCTTCAGTTTGGTAGCTGTTTCCATCAATAAAATTTGCGACTATACAGAAGTGTGTATTCAACTTTCTGTAGGTAGTGTGTGGGCTGTTAGTTTTGTTACTATAACTCTTTTGTACCGATTGAAGAATTTCAGCTGGTAATTTTCCACGGTTAGTTTATTATATGTACCCTTTATAGTCTTATGTTCGTTGTTTAATTGACTTGAGTAGACAATGCCCCCAAATGCCCTGGTACGGTCGAGAGTGGGGAGAGTCCGCTCTCCCTCTCGAAATGCTCTCACATGGCCACGCGTATATAGCCTCTGCCAGGGAATTCCTACTCACTGCCTTCTCGTGGCGGGGGTGTTGTTTACAAAAATGAGAGGACGAAAATCGAATGTCCGGCGCTTTAACCGGACCTCAAACCAATGGTGCACATGGGCTCCAGTATGCTGAAGGAACAAATGGCGTATGAACCGATTTCTTGGTCACTGGCTTCCATGGGACTGCGTCTCCTTACGATGCTCCACTGCCTTGTGGGTTAGACCTTTAGGTCGAAGGCTCGGGGTGTGGCCCCCTAAGAAAACCACCTGCTCCGGTCTGGGCACCCGGGCAGTATCACAGCCCATACACAAATATAATGACCTTTTTTCCCCTTCTTAAATTCTCATTGTTTTGTGTGGCGCATATATATTTGGTGCCCCTCTGAACCAATATTTATGTGTTCAAATAAATAAGTAAATAATAAATAACTTGGTTATTGAATTGGTTTAGCATTAAAAGCTTGTAACCTCATTCTGACTGAAATTCAAAGACGTTTTGCGGTTACCCCCTGGATCGACGGGGGCGAGGATTAGAAACAACTTAGACATGAATTGTAGAAAGATACAAAGATTCGTTTGTGATGACTATATAAATGTCTGTTTGACCGACGTAGTGTTTAAAATCAAGAGGTTCGAATTCCATGAGTAGACCTGTGACGTAGTGGTGTAAGGCGTAAAATATTAACAATGGTGTCTTAATTTAAAATCTCACCTTAGAACTTTCATGTACTCCCTCTACAGATGTGGTTGAGAAATGCGCATACAAGTAGATTTTAATATTTTGGTTTTTTATTCGACACACAGATTTCTGTAACAGTAAATCAAATAGGGTTCATAAAAACAATAACTTACAAAGTTTATCAGTGTCTATAAAAAGTTATCGCTGTTTCAACAGTTAGACGGACAGCATTTAAGATTATGCTTACATTAATGTGGCTTTTGGTTTAGCGGGACTCATATAATCACAACAACCTAAAATGTGTCATTTTTCTACATATTTTAGAGTTACTTTGTATTCAGTTTTTGTTTTTTCCTTATTTTGACGCTAACGTAATGGTCTCTGTAATGAATAATTTTCTGTTTCACTACTAACTAACTTAAAAGTAATTAAAGACTCTTCATGATAGGAATATCTTTGGATGTGCTTCTAGAAGCTTCACATCATTCGCTATAGCCAAAATTTGTTTAATTTTTTATACTTCGTTTTTCACTTTCACCTTTAGTAATTTAAATTTCAAAACTTCGTTTTAGCGCCGTGTACCCTCCAGTAATGTTTTAGAATTAGCTACAGACCCAGTTAATTTTGAAGATGAGGATGATATCCCAGAAGAATGGGATCGTTTCGAAGCATTACATGACGACCCGTACAATTTAGACAGAGGGAACAAGGCGCAGTTAAAGTATGAAAGTAAAATTGAACTTGTTTGGGAAAAGGGTGGATCTGGCCTAGTTTTCCACACTGACCAACGTACTTGGGAGAAGTTAGACCCACTAAGAAAAGAAGAAATTTTTGACGAACCCTCATCTTTCGATTGGGATATAGACATGCAGCCATATGAAACACCAACTGGCATTGGTACGGGTCCATGTCCAAACGGATTTCAGGGCGGAGACAGAGATACAGCTGAACTTATTGATATAAATCGAGAAAGGGAATCTATTCGTGTTCAAGACCTTGCACATAATCCGTATGCCTTTTTTACCAGCGAAGTAATTGCCAAAGTAAGTCTTCTTGGTACTTTTAGATTTTAGTCGAATAAATTTTTTTTGTGAAATTTTCAAGCATATATTTCAGTTAGACACCAGGTACAAAATACCACTGAAAGACTACTTGACTACTCAAACAGACTACCTTGTAAAATGAAATGCACTACAATAGAGACTGAGAGTCTTGTTTATTTGGGTCTTCATTTTACTTTTTAGAATGATTATTTATGTTAAGTTTGATTATTATGTGCCTTCATGAAGACGTTTTGTATATGATTCGTCTCTTGTCATCTAGTTTTTGCTAGGGTTTTAGTATTTCTAAACTAGTAAGTGGCAAAAATATGGAAAAATGATAATATCTGTATAAAGTAGTAGCTTTAGGATTGGGAAACCAATAGATGACGGATCCAAGCCTTAGTCTACCAACTTTGGTTTAGATATCTGTGTTGTATCTATAGCCCTAATAAACGTGTTGTCTAAAACCGAGTACTTGAAAAGCAAGTTCAGTCAATAATAAATATATGTTTAGACTTACCAGCTATAACTTACAACAGAGATTATAATCAGCGATATTATTGATGAAATAGTTAATTAGGGATCCACTTTTAGATAAGGTAACTCATTAAATGCTAATAATCTACCTTTTAATTCATTTCGATTCTCTACTGTTCAGCTAAAGTGAAAGTTGAATATATGAGTTGATTATTAACTATTATCGACAAAAGGTATATCATGTTGTGCAGCGTATCATATGTCGTGTGCAGGTTGTAAATTGAGATTGTTTACAGTTAATATTAAGTCTTGGTTTGTGTTGGGACATAGATTGGATTACAGCATGCTCAATGCATGATTGCTGTGGTGCGCGCTGATTGGTTAATTCTTGCCCAATCAGCGCTAGTAGATATTTGGAGAATATTCTAGAAATATTCTCATGTAAAAACTATAAATATACTGACGTTTTTCCTGTTGTGCTTCTTACTTCCATCTAACCTTGTTTTTTGGAATATAATCGCTCTCCTGTTCAACCGTGTTCTTATTTGGGGACTTATCGAGTGAATTGGTGTCCGAGAATACTAAGCAATAGGAATAGCTGGGTTATAACCGTAAGAGAGAAGTATAACAGTTTGTAAGTGTAATTTTGTCATAAATTATTTGAAACCACAATGTTGGTTGTGTTTCTACTTACCTAGCTTCGTATAACAATGACCGTTTACTGTTTCTACAAAATAAAAATGAAATCCTCCTTCACGAGGCGTAACAAGAGTAAGTAAATAAGAACTTTGAAAAAATGGATGTGGTAAGAATGTAGAAAAATGTTGCGTTTACAGTTTATTTGTTCAAATTTGTCACAAGTAAATTATGTCGAATTTCCTTACTCTCCTAAACTTTTTCGACAGGGTTATGGTGGGCAACTATTAAAACGGATGGGTTGGATTCCAGGTACTGGACTCGGAGCTAAAAGAGGGAATCCTAAAGTTTCTTCGGGGATAAAAGTTCCTTTAACTTGTGAAGGTAGTCTCCCACCCAGAGTTCGGAAGGGTCTTGGTTACTATGGGGAGCGAATTTCACGCAATTCTAACAAGCAGTTATTAAGTGGGGCATCAAACTCTTGTAAAACAGGACACGCAACAAAATCTGTATATATCCGATCTGTGTTTGATTCTCCGCAGACTGTTGCTCATCGTAGTGGACTTGGTTTTTCTCCCAGTATTTTGAGACGCGATGATCCTGGGATGGTTGTAAAATGGTTAAATGATAGAGAAGAATCAATGAGTCATCCGATATCCTCTAAACCTTTATATGAGAGACTTCCAATTAAAAATCGTACCATTATTTTGAACACTTACAGTAATCTATCTAAAGAGGGTATTTCTTTTGTATGTGGTGGTTTCTTAAATCCATCATAACTTTTTTTCCAATGTATTTAAACCTCATGTATATATATTCTGTCGTAATTCATTGTGTGTAAATCAGAGATTTTTGTAATTTCGTAGTTTTATATTTTATCTTACAACTTTTATGCTTAAAATAAAATCCTAATTTTTTGTTGTATTAGTCGTGTTTTCCATTTTTATTTTGTTCTTATGAAGCTAACGCCTGACGTTTTTGTCATATGTGTATACTGATCATCAGGTTTGAACATTCAGCCAAGATCAAAATAGTAGATAATAATGGAAGTGAACCGTATTGTCTTAATGATATATGGCATTGCACTACAGTGCGGTCTGAATGTACGATTGTACTTATTAATGTATATACCTCGCGTCAATTTGAAGTATCTGCTGTTTCTCTGCACCGTCTAGTGCAAATGTTTTCTATATTCGGGATCCATGAACTTGAATAACATTATCTTGAAATTAATAACTGAAAAAGATTTCGATACTAGGTGTCAAAATAAATGTGTTGCAATTTTCGTTAGACGCATAAAATTAACAATCACCGTTTGAACAAGTGCCATTATATCAACACTGAAAAATACCTTCAAATTCAGTCGTATGGAACCGCTAATATTTTATTGATAACGGAATTCGTAATGTCAATAAACTAAGAAATCCAAATGGATTAATTATCCTTCTAGTAGTATAAACAGTAGCAAAATTATGATATAATATTTTAAGAACTTAAAATACAATGATTAAATTATAGCCAAAGGATTATTAACCACTTTTCAATAATCTGCGTTATATAAAATCGAGAAAGTTTTCAGTATTTACGCAAGTCGAGAAAATGACTGTTATTCAACGACTATATTCTGTAAACATAAAAAAAATCAGTTTCATTATGCGAATTTTAATAAACATGATTTAATGTGTTGTTGATAAGTGTTTTTTTCTAATTCGATAACTGGCTTAATTCATATATCACTACTTCTACAGTGTAATCCTTGTTATTCGCTCACACGGATCATTTATAACAGACGGGAATATTGTTTATATGTTATTTAGTTAAAATAAAAGAAGTGATAGATCTATTCATCGACAAATCAATTTCCATGATATTTAATTGAAGTATGAAAAAAACTTTTCTTGAAGTCATTAACTACTTACAAGTAATAAAGTTAACGGCGTGCAACTTTCACTTTTTCACAACCAAGCCGGAAGGAAAGGTTCATTTCTTATCTCTACTGGTCGATGTAATTTCAGCCTAACTATTCAATTAATATTTGTAAATAGATAAACAGTAATAAATTCAATGTTTCTGGACTATAAAAAACAAATCTAAAGTCGAAGAAATCGTAAATATTATATATTCTCCTAGCGTAACCACAATTGGTGTATAAGCTAATAATTAATCACAGAAGGTATACTTAACTGTCGATCGGAATTTAGTGTTATTTTATTAGGCGTCCTGCTACGTAGGCTGTTGATATAGGTTTATGATGAAGTTCGTCAGCAATTCAACTGATCGTGTTGTATATATATTTGAACATGTCATTGTTCGAGATTTATGTAGTTTATTGTAGGTTTCCTACAATCTCACTCGATTGAGGAAGCCAGGGGAGTTCAAAATTGAATATTAAAGGTTGAGTGCAAAAGTTAACAAATAAAAATGAACTGAATAAAGGAACAATACTTAATATTAACTAGTAGCTCATTAGTTGGAAACGAAAGTAGTCTCTGATAGATTATGTTGAAAAAATAACTTAATACTACTTTGTCTATAGGTTTAGTTAATTCGCGACATATTGTTTGTCAAAAAGCACCTTTCACAACACATACCTATTAATACTCATCTGGAATCTAGTCTAAACGAAGATTTCGTTGCGACATACAAATTAATATTCGCTTATCATCAACTAAATTCAATGATTTTTTTATCATAATTATATAAATTAAAAATGATTTCACTGAATAGATCTTTACGTGGAATATGGTTTACCAGTAGATGTATGCTTATATGTCTTCAATTAATAGAATTAACGAGAATATTGTGGTATTTGTTTCAAAAACTAGTCTGTCGCAAAGATATCAAAATATTTGATGGACTTTTATGTTGATAATTACTTATCGCTTATTGAATATCACTTAATCCATCCATAAAAATGTGAGCGTTAGCCACTTTGGTAATTTTATACAATTCGAAGATGGTTTTTACCACAAATTTAAGTTATGGGTAGTACTATCAAAAAATAAACATAATAGCACTAAACAGCTGATGTGTTTTAGTTTAAGACTCCACAACAAAAAACATCTATGGCTCAGCATACGGTAGAAATTTAAGAACTGACATAATGCAACCAAGCCATTGAGCCAACGCTCAGATTTCCAAAACTTCAAGTGCGACCAACTCACGACATATTGTCATCTACATCAAATTTCACTGGTGGTTAAATGATTCCTTCCAGATTTATTTAATTCTAGTTCGCGGCTTTTCATAAGTGCGTGAGGAAATTCACATAACTGTTCTTCTAACTTAACGTTGCCCGACCATAGCTACTACCTTGACGCAGTGGTCGGGCTTGCCTATCGTGATGACCCAATCGAGCTATACTGGCTGGAACATACGTTCTTGTAGGTTCTACCATGCTAGACGGGTCGGCTGGAGAACTGTAAGACTAAAAGTAGCAACTCAAGGTCTGTGGGCGAAGTCGTGCTGCTGACTGTAGAGGGGTTTGAGAGTAGTAAGGTGTTTCCCTCGGGCAGCCAGCGTCTGCAGCGATGCTGCCTTCTCACAAGTAGGGAAGGGTTAGAAAAGGTCGACCTTAAAAATGTCACACCTCACCTTACTCACGGATTTCCATCTCCGGAGGTAAGGCGTTATGAAGAATGGAGCTAACACGTTAAAAACTTCCCACAAAAAGGCAGTGTGTGACCGGCCTCAAGCAGTTGTCCCTTGGGCTTTACGATCACGCTCCCAGGTCTTTAAAACCACCACTAATCCAACTTTTCAGGTTCCTTCAAGAAATACCCTTCCACTGTGTGGACAGCCGGGAAGTGACATCAATTCTCGTACCCCTAACAACACAAGAGACCAAGTTGGTTACAATCAAATCCTTCCTACATTTCCTAATGACTCTCTTATCTTCCCGACTAACCCTTTTCACGTTCCTTTATCACCTCGTACCTCTAGTGCAAACGATCCCAGTAGACGGAACGTTGCTCCCGGTCTCCTGAAACCACGCTCTAATCTACATGTAGGAGATTTTAAAGTATGAACACCGTGCCAAATAGGACGACAGGCTTCCCCAGCTAGGACTTTAAAATCTCGCGCCAACGATGTATGCTGCGTTTCCGAAACGCGCACACAGGATCCGAGTAGTGTCATTCATTTGACCTCACCATGTCAAAGTAACGAACCAACTCGATTCACGCTTCGTGTATCTGGAAGCCGTGATGCTGCTTCACGTGGCCTCGCTTGTGTAGGTGTAGCATTGAGTCCTATTTCAGAGCTAGCTCTCTTATAATGGAACCCAGTACAAAGTCGTTTGTGCGCTGTCCGACTGAACAGAACAGTTAGGATTCGGAAAGATAGGGATACTAGTCTTTGCTCAGGTGATGTAAAATATGAGTTATACAGAAAGCTTTCTGATATTCTCTGAAAAGTTAGGCTCTCTGATGTAGTATTAGTGGCTGGTGACTTTAATGTTCAAGTAGGTAAACTAAGCGAAAAGGAAAGACACCTGGGTTAATCTTATTGTGTCGTGGCTCAAAGAACAAATAATAGCGACCGTTTGTTGCAGCTATGTTCAGATAACCGCCTGTTTCTAGCAAATGTTAACTTTAAGCATAACGAAAAACATCATTTGACATGGAGATCCCCGAATTCGTCCCAACGTTGGACCGAACAAGATCACATCGCCGCCAGCCACCGATGGAAGTGCTCGATATAAGACTGTTGCTCGTTCTGGAACACATTCTTAGATTCAGATCATGCTCTAGTGCGAGCACCTATTTGTCTGCGTCCTACTGAACGTAGGAGGAACACTGCAAGGAAACCGCTTAGGGTTCTACCTAATGATAGCCAAGCTAAGAATATATTTCAGATACAACTAGAAAAGCAGTTAGGCAGCCATGTAAGTGATGCCTACCGCGAGGCCGCGTTGAATGATTTGCGAAGAGCTGTGGAAACAGTAGTGATATCTGCTAGTAAGACTTGATCTCAGCAACATCTACCGTACTGATAAATACTCGAAAGCTCACCCCGTCTGACTCTAAACTTGATGAAGAGCAGAGTCAGTCTAAGCGCGGGCTGATAAAATGCCTATGCAATTATCGCGTACAGTGGTGGGTAGCGAAAGCAAGAAAGATAGAAAAGGCAGCGGCAATAGGTAAAAGCAGACAACTGTTCAGACTTGTCAAGGAAACCGCTATCAGGAGTCCAACTGTTAGCGAACCTATCTCAGAAAAAGATGGACATATTATTCACTCTCAATCCAAGAAACTGGATCGATGAACAGAACACTTTAGGGATCAGTTCAATTGGCCTTCAGCCACACTTCGGTTTCCCACGACGTCCAGTCGACCTGAATGGCAAGTTAATGTAAGTCCTCCAACACTTGACGAAGTTGAAAAAGCTATGAGAAATCTGAAGTGTGAGAGAGCAGCAGGCCCTGGTAGATTTACTTCTGAAATTTTTAAGGATGGCGGTTCAGTATTAGCAGCGAGATTGGCTGAGATCTTAGGTAAAATCGGGGAACTGGACGTAGTCCCATCTGACTGGTCTCAATCACTGACTGTGTCAGTCTATAAGAAAGGACAAAAGTCCTCTTGTGACAATCACAGAGGAATAAGTTTGATTAATAGTGTCTAAAATATTAGATTCAATCTGGTGTGTGACAAAATCTCAGCAAGGATACAGAAGGCTCGACTAGCTTTCGCCAACTTGCGTCATTTGTGGCGTAGGCGAGATATCTGTTTACCAACCAAGAACGGGTTTACTGTGCAGCAGTTCGTTCTGTCCTACTTTATGGCAGTGAAACATGGCCGGTAAGAGTAGGGGATATTCGTAGGTTACTAGTATTCGATCATAGGTGTCTTCGAAGCATTGCTCGTATATCCTGGGACCACTGAGTAAGTAATGCAGTTATTACGAAACGGGTACTAGGTGAGGAT